AAATTCTATGAGAACTATGCAACCATTTTCTCAAACCGAAGGTAAGAATATTCTTTTCCTAGATTGGATGAACCCAGCATTCAGTTTGTAAAACTTGAATTCAGTTATAACAGTCGGTAACTTTTTAAAATCATTCGGCAATTTAGAAACTTTTTTTAAAACCGAAGGAAACCCTTCCTTTAAGAATAAAATATAAAGAAGGTCTAATTTCCTATCAAATAAGTACAAGAGAGGAGTTTTTCGTGTATGCTTTCCATAAACTATATTTGAATTTATAAAGTCAGCCAAAATCAATGATAAGAATGCATACTATTTAAGTAGCCATTTTTTTACAGAATAAACTTTTTCGCAGTGGTCGAAAAGAAGCTTATCACAGAGTTGGCATCCTAGTGTGACTGAAAATAATTGAAATTTGACTGCATGATAAACCGTACTCAATGTTGGTTTGCGAGTGATTACCGGTCTCTTTCAAATTGCGGAATGTTTCTTGCAGCACATCGCCATATTGTAGGTCATATTAATCTTTCAAATCTGCCAAACTTCTCCCTTCCACCCGACTAAATTCAACGTACACGAAAAACCGCGAAGATTTGGACGAAACCAGCACGATTCGCCGACAGGAATGCGTGACTTAGACATTAATTTATACGCGAGGCAGTGACTTCAAATGAATCCAAACGATGTAACCCTGCCTAAATCTAAGTCACGGTGGAAGATTTAAATTACTACATAAATTATGAGGAGCGAGATTCAGAGGGTTGAAAAGATTAAATATTATTTGACCTGAAGGCTATTGTACTTTGATCAGGACAATTAACCTCTTGTTCCAGTGATCGCTTCTTTTTCTTCTGAAAGTTCTTCCGTGCAAAAGTGCACAAAATGACGCTTCACCTTTAAAAGAACTCCTAAAAGTGTGCAAATTACTAGTCCATCGGTGCGGATAGGATGCCGATAAGAAACTTTCTCATAGTAGCAATTTTGTCATTAAACCTTGTTTCATGCAGTAGTCTTGGCTGTTCTTATACGCTACGTAATAAAACTACAAAGGCGGTTGATAAAAACGCACATTATTTCTTGCATTTTGATGAAGAGCGTTGCAAAGCAACTTACTTCTTTGACACTGACTGTCCTTCCTATTGCCAATTTGTAAGGTGTTTTGCATTTCTGCATAAACTATGGGAAATAAAAATTAGATAAACCATTTTTTATAAGAAGGTTTTGGAATCCTCGACCATGTACGGGAAGAATAATGCGCTCAAAGTGTCCTTTCAGAAAACATAAGCTTTGCACATTATTTGGGCTCCTGATGCCTGATGATGAAACCTCCGATGAAAAGTTCATGTTCTCTG